GGGATCAGTTGGATCCTCAGGCGGCTTCGAGCTTCCCCTCCTTCCACGAGGCGATCGTCCGCGTGCCATGTCAGAATGATCAGACAAGTAGCCCTCATGACCGACACCCAAGGGTGACAATACACCAGCAGGGAACCCGCCGGTCATTAGTCCAGGAGACCCTTCATAGGCACTGAGAAATCCATTGTGCTGAGGAGAGGTGAAGGCGGCTGGGACGGGACTCAGCGTGGCAGCCTGCATAGCGAGGCCTGGAGAGTTGGGACGAGATCTCTGTCCAGTAAGTCCCATATTCTGTTGAGCTTGGATAGCAAGAATCTGATCACGATTGAGCACTTGGCCATGTTCGTTAATCATGACCACATTAGTGCCGGGCAAATTAATACCCTGAGCAGATGGCAAGCCGGGAGAAAGTGGAGGTTGGTTAGAACCCTTAGCATCGTTGGACCTTGCACGGCGGTATTTGCGAACATCATCCAGAGCAAAGCGGTTGTTAACTGTGGAAAGAGCGGCCAGTTTCATGGCTGTTGCGTTTGCCACCATGTCAGCTTGAGTGCCACCTTGATTATTGCCAGAAGTGAAGGTCGCAGTCATTGGGGTGTTCACCATGGACGCCCAGTTCCCACCATGACCGTAGGGAGACAAGACGGGCAGCTCGGGTTGACTCTTGTCGACACCCGCAAGAGGATTCTTTTGAGGCGCGGCGCTGTTTGGTACCTGGGACCGTGGGGACCTCAAACCCGCAGAAGGAGGTGGCTGCACGAATTGACCCATAGGAGTCTGGGACGTGGCAGGTTTGGCGGCAGTCTGATCGTTGGACGTGTTGCCGACCCATGCCAAGCCCGATGATCCTTGCGTTGCACCCTCCCTTGCTTCCTGAGGCGGAGGAAGACCCGGCGTTGCCATGGACGAGGTCCTGGAATCGATCGCAACACTGTTGCGGTTGGAAGCCGGCAAATTTCCGGTTTGTTGGGTGAATTTGGCCTTTTCAGTGGCAATTGCGGCGGCAGCATCTGGAAACATGGCATTGATCGTAGAAGGGTCGAGGCCGGAGTGACGCTTGGTGGTGCTAATGGTCGAGTTGCGAGCATACGAGTTACGAGTCGAGTCTACATTGAGCTTGCTCATAGCATCGCTGAGCCGATTCGACATTGGGTCTAGCATGGCAGGTATATTAGTTGTGAAATTAAGCAAACGTTTCGTCAATTGGAATTGTACCCTTATCAAAATTGGCTGGAGACAAGACACCAGACATGGGATGATTCTTACCCATCTGCTGCAACACCTGGATGAAGAAGCGGATTTGAACTTGGGTAGTCTGTTGAAGCAGAGCATACAAGGCAGCAGTACGCTCGGCTTCGCTCAGAACCCGAAACCATTGTTCGATGGCGCTCAGCTCATCCTTGAAATCCTGATCGAGAGTAGCTGCGGCCATTTCCTCGAGAGTGGTTTCATATTGGTCGATATCAGCAATCCACTGCTGGGCAATCTTGTCCTGGGGGTCGGAGTCCGAGTTGCCTTGCCCCTGAGCCTGCTGGCTTTGTCCATAAAAATCGGAAGATGGGCGGATTCGATTGGCTGAGGGAGGACCAGCGAGGGCTGCCATATCCGCCGAGGCGCGCAAAGAATGTCCAGAGCCAACAGCTCTGGAAGAAGGAGGACGCAACGAGGACGTTGTGTTTGCCTCGGGAGTGCTGTTGCGATTCCCGATATTGTGGTTCCCGGACATATTGAGCATTATCGAGCTGAGGGTATTAATAAAGAGAGAGAAGAGCCCTTTCCAGTTGAAGTAAAGATGGCGAATGGGTGCGAACTGTCCAGAATCTACCCGTCAAAAAGGGCGACAACGAGAGTTGGCTATGTGATGAAATCGAGGGTATTGTCTATCTCCTGCAGTGACCGGCTGACCTCAAAGGAGTTTCGACAAGTGTGAGAAGAGTGAATTATTTCATCGTCTATTTTCGAAATGCGGAGATGAGGAAGGCAACGCTGGGAGAAGCTGGAAACTTGTTAGCCTACATGGTGTGAAGGGGATGGACATCTAGCGATAGAACGGGCAAAAGTTACGATGGGAGCATCAGGGTGTACTGACCGAGGGGATTAAAAATGTAGAGGCTCAAGGTCGCGACGAGAAGACGTCTGCGTCCAGGCAGTCAGTTGACAGTTGTCGTCACAAACTCGACTGGGAACAAGGAGAAATGTGAAAACGAGGAAGAGAGACCTCCGGGGGTATGGAGTTAAGTCGAGGACCCAGCAAGGACAGGTGGTAAAGCGTTGTGGCCCGAAAACTGAGCTGACTTGGAATCTAGCCTGGATAAGGTGAGGAGACCCGAGGTACGTACACTCTTAGGTAAGCGAAATTTATTTATGGAGATATTAGTAGAATCGTGAATCCTTCCTTGAGTACGCTTCCCTTTTGAGCCAATAATTGATATAAATAACTCGGACTTGGTGTAGGTAGGTTAATTAGAGCATGTAGAGCGTGCGGAACCATAGCAAACTGCACTTTATTGGATGGGATTCTGCTCGAATTCTCTAACCCGAGCATTCAATTTATTGATGACAGCATTCATTGAAAGGGGAGTCAAGTTGATGAGATTGCCTCGTATCGATGGCGACAGCAGAGCAAAAGGGAGTCACGTAGTGCGAGAGAGAATCCCGCCTCATAAATAGCACTCCAATATGGGTTCGATTTTTGTATTCCTGGCTCCAGCCCAACGTCACGGATGTGTGCCGTGCGAGGTTTCTCTATGTAGCCTACGAAGGATTGACCGTCAATCCTCACCCTAAGAGCATTTTCTTGTCGCTTTCCTTCATTCTGCTTTCAAACATTTTCGCGCTTGCCTTCCTTGGCCTCCTTCTAAACAGGTTGTTAGTCCAATTCGATCCGCGATTCTATCGAGAATGAGTGGCGTACCAGGGCCTTGGCGTTGCCGTGAAGAGCATGTCGGTGGTTGCGACGGAACTTGGGGTCAACACCCTTGAGGGAAGGGTATCTCGAGGTCTTGGGCTTCGTGATACTGGGGTAGGCTATCAGTATTGTATTGGGCAAAATTCGGGGAATTGAATGGGTGCTTGCCCGTTACGGTGAGCCTTGCGCTGCTGGTTGTGCTGCGAGCTGTTCTTTGACTCTGATCACGAACGCATTAGTTTCCGAAACGCATAAATTCGGTTCACAACTACTCACTGGCCATGGCGTCGGTTGGATGTTGTCTGAGATACTCAAGGATTCAAGTTCGTAACTGAGGAGAACGAAATCTTGTGTGGGAATTTTCCACAGCTAGCCCTAGCATGGCTGGATTGGGTAAACCTAAGACCGACCCACAAAATCTGGTAGAAAGCTGACATAATCTGTGGCTGCACATGGCGAGCCTGTGTGGCGCTGCCCGTCCCAATTTTCTACTAATACCCACCGAGGAAGGGACTCGAGGCTTTTGAAACGAGAGCAGGCCGCCTCGTCGGCAGGTGATTTTATATAGTTCATACTCCCTCTAGGTTTGATCTCGCATGATTCTTTTCAGACACTGAGGGACATAATTAGTGCATTTGTGGTGTGCGAATAATAGGCTTGAGTATATATTGATGCCATGGCTGGTTTGAAATACTAAAATCAATTCTATCCCTCCCTGGGCCATCTTGTACCAACTGAAAGAAACAACCGGCTACGCCATCATGTCGTCGTTGTCGTTATAGCAGCCTCGGCTTTGGAGGCTAGGTCAAGCCCAGAGTCTCCGATGGTTGTTGACGCTCGTTGAGCGGCACTTCGCAGCTGTTGGAGGCGGAGCGATTTTAAATATCGGAAGAGGAGAACAAAAAGTAGCTCCACCCTGTGAGCATGTTAGCAGGCAATCCTTACTCAGGAAAGATCCTCGCTGTGAAGGGCAAAGTAAACGCCGTCTCTCACCTCTCCTTTGTCATCATCAGAATTCCTTGGACCAGAAGCCCTTTCAAAATTTGAGGACCAATTCCCTTGAAGAGACTCAGGGGGCCCTCGTTGTCAATAATGAATTTCATCACTTCACCGAAGCTCTTGAAGGGTTTTCCATTTCTGGCCGGGGGAGGCTTGGACTGGAGGCCGACTTTGGCAACGATCAATGGTTGAGTAGCAATGGTAGCCAGAGCCTTGGAAAGGCCACCCAGGACTAGTGTATGTAAGTTAGCTGAAGAGCTTGTTGATTGTTGATAGGACGCTGTACTTACCAAAAGCCTCCCAAGGCCGTAAGTTGGCCTTTCCCGGAAAGAGAACAACCTTCAAGCGTTCATAGGCACCATAGGTGATTGCAGGATTGACAACAAGAACAAGGCTGGCCTTCAGACCCCTCCACAGCCCAGAGACTCCGTCTGGCCCTTCGACTACCTCGCGGGCCGTTGCGATGAGCCCGCGGCGCTCTCCCTTGGTCGCGGTTTGTTGTCGGGTTGTCACGACGGCAACAGGGATGGTGAACAACTGGGCAATAGCACCAGCAGCTGCGCCTAGAGATAACTCGATGGCGGTAGAGGGAGGGGCGGCCGACTTTGCCGACTGGCTGTAGAGAGCTCGGATGATGCTATACCAGTAAAAGTATGCAAAATTGGTTGACGCGACGCCGAGGAGAGAGCCGCTCATCCCGGCATATAGGCCCTCAACCCCTTCATCGGACACAATGCTGGATAGGGCGTGCCAGGTCGAGTCGTACACGGGGGCGTCGGCAGCGTCGATGGGTTTCTCATTTGACCGAACCTGGACCTGTAGCTTTGTTTTGACGCTGTGACAGAAGATCTGAATGTCAGCGTCTGCTTTGATGGGGAACGTCTGGGACTCAATGGAGTGAATTTGGCGATTGACCAAGGTGTTGGAAGGGTCTCTCACATGTCAAGCGGGTAGACGAGAGCGTTAGCAAGAACAGCGCCCGTAGCGCCCGCGACAGCTTTGCCCCAGGGCGAAATCTCCTTTGATTGACCAGCCATGGTGCAATGTGCGCGGTTATGAAGGTTCGAACGTAGTGGAGGACGGCTAGCGAGAAATGGAACGTCTGAGAGGGAGTTGGGAGGACGGCGCAAAGCGTACAGGCTCTACGCAGGTAGGCAGAGTCTGTCTGTTGACAGGAATGGGCGTGTCAGTGCTTCAACAAGCCATTGAGATCAGTTCTGGTGAGGGGGTGGCTGGAGGGCACATACCGCGTTTCGTGATGTTGAGATGCAAGGAGGCTAGCTCTTGGGCGACATGATAATAGTCCTCAAGGGTGACCAGGTCCGGGCCATGGGTGGATGATATCAACGGCTTGTGGCTGCAGGCGGGTGTTCATGGCCCAGATCGATCATCCATGTACCGTCACGAGTGACGAACCTCGGGTCTTGCATGGGCACAAGGGCCGACTGTCGGCAAAAGATCCCCACAGGACGACGGGAAGATGGGGCAGAAGCCTCGGCTACAATCTACTCTGTACATGGCATGGCCATTATCTGGCCTGATAGCCAGGATCTATTAATACCCAAGCAGGATAGTTTCTTGGGTGTGCCTGTGCAGTCTTAGTTGCATCGGATCTTGATCACACTGTACACCAGCGCCGGGCCTCGATTGATTGGAGCATCGGCAAGACATGATCCCCCGGCTGAAGGGCTCCGGCACCTGGCACACACCACCTACATTATGAAGTCCCTAGGAATGGATTGACCATATGGATTACCGCGACGTTGCCGTATTATTGATTTCTAATGATAAAGGCCCAAATACATGATATCTAAGCTCCTGGGAATGACTACCTGTGGCCAGTAGGGCCTCAGGTGTCGTAGTATCATGATCTTCTTTCATGGTGCATTACGCCGGGCTGGTTGTGGATTTTACATGCTCACAACCCCCGACATCTGGATTCCTGTCATTCTGAACCTAAAGAGACAGCTCGCTCGACGGGGTCTGTCGAAATACTTGTCCTGGGCTTGACGGGTCAAGTTCCTAGGAGAGGCGAGGTACCTTATGTTACTATATCCCCCTGCATATCCACCTCCTTGCCTGCAGGCCGCTACCGCTGCGATTACTAACTCCTCAGCCTTCCTGGCTTATATTAGGTAAGCATCTTGCCAATTTGTGCACGTCAGGCACCTCAACCACTGCAGGCCGCATACTCCACCTTTTTGGTCCAGCCCATTACGTGAACTGGAACCAACCCAATCACAAAATGAATGACTGATCAATTGGTCGTTCCTGTGATATCATATTATGGATTGATTGCCAAGCCAAACTCATCCCTCACTTACAGCTAGGGCCCTGTTGCTATTGGTGGGAAAAGGCCGCTCAGAAAACCAGACCAGACATACCCGCTCTTCATGGTCGTCGTTTTCCTGGATCTTGATTATTTGTGCTGCGCCGACGCCCACCTCCTCGTCATCTCGTCTTGGCCCTGTTAACGACAAAAGATGTTATAGTAAATGATGGAAAGGCAAGCTCGGGTTAGATTGCCCCTTTTTCTTCAACAACTAGTCGGCTCTTGGCTCGCTGTTGAAGAAACCTCTCTCATGTCTCGCTTCACGCTCGCTTCATGAGGCTAACCATATGCTTTAGGATGCTGAGGCTTTAGTGGCCGTTTCAACCGGGCAAGATGCACTCAACCATGCTATTCGTGCCGCCGAGCTTTTCATGGCCGCCGCATCGCAGGCCGTGACAAAAGCTGACGTAAACCGTCTTCGCCGTAAATGCGGCGAACTGATTGACCGTGCAGAACAACTTAAAACAACCCTGCCGCCCACTCTGTCCGCCGAAGAGAAAATTCTTCATGATGCTTCATCTCTTCACGGGAATGTCTTCCCGCAATGGAAAGCGGAGCCTTCTGATGAAGAGTTTGATGGCCCCTTCAATGGGGAGATCTATGTGTATGTCGGTTTCTTGCTCAGGTGCTCGCTCGGTGCTGTGCCAGCTAGTGAGCCATGTTGCTACAAGATATTATGTTACCTACATTTGCAACAGACTCCAGGGCTAACCAACGGTGTGACTTTCCCGCAGTGATAATACTTCTTTCACTTTGTCACCAGCACAGGCCACAACCTTTGCTGGTTGGAGGCGACCAACGGGTGTGCTTGCCCCTGATCTAGACCATCCCCATGAAGAACCTCGCGAGTCTTTAGATACGCTCTTCATGAATTCACATAAGATACCTGATTTGGTTCAAGATATGACGACCGATTGCAGTGTCGTGGCAGGCCTATCCGCTGCAATCAAGATCTTGATCGGAAAGCATTCTGTAGGCCATTTGATACCTGGCTTGTGGGCGAAATAAATCAATTAACTAATGTGCCAAGGCTCTTTCCTCCATCATTTACCCCTTTGACCACTCTCGGGGCCGGCCACATTTCTCGCCTAAGGGTAAATATATCTTGCGCCTGAATTTCAACGGCTGTTCTCGCCGGGTCGTAATCGATGATAGACTACCTGCCTCACAGGATGAGGGAAAATTCTTCGTCGTGGACCGCTCGAACCCTCGTCTCCTGTGGCCCGCACTGTTGGAAAAGGCATACCTGAAGGTTAGAGGTGGGTATGACTTTCCTGGGAGCAACTCGGGAACTGATCTGTGGGTACTTACTGGATGGATCCCCGAGCAGGTGTTTTTGCAAAAGTAATTGGAGCCCCCTTTGCTTAATCCGCGAATGTTGAATTGAGTGTTGACAATACGTGATGTAGAGAGGACATGGATATTAACCAAGTATGGGCGAGAATCAAAGCAGCCCATGACTCCCAGGATGTTGTTATTACTATAGGCACCGGATTTATCTCTGCTGAAGAAGAGAACGCCTCCGGTTTGGTTGGCGAACATGACTATGCCGTTCAAAGTCTTGACGATTCTGACGGCGAGCGCAGACTCTTGGTCAAGAACCCCTGGTGTGGAGGGCCAACTTGGACTCCGGCCTCATTCTCTGCTGGCAGTTACTCGTCTCGAGGGACTGGCCAAGATCATGGCACAAATCAGGAAAATGAAGCAGATAATGGGTTGGAAGATGCCCCGGGCTGTCTCTGGGCCACACTGGAGGATGTGGCCCAGAACTTCGAATCAATGTACCTTAACTGGAACCCAAAACTCTTCCAGCATCGACAAGACCATCATTTCGAATGGGAGATATCTCCCGGATGTTTTGCCTCATCAGTGGTACGAAATCCTCAATTTTCAATCGTCTCCCCAACTGGAGGCCTTGTTTGGGTTCTCGTCAGTCGCCACTTTGTGGATGCCGAGCTTGAGATCGTTCGGAGGAGGACCGCCAATTTGGCTGCAGCTTCCCGCCAGCTTGGGTTCATGAGCATTATTGTTTTTGATTCAAAAGGGAAGCGGGTGCAGATTGCCGACGGCGAGACGTATCGGGGCCCTTATGTTGATTCACCACAAACACTTGCCCGCCTTGAAATGACTGCAGGCAAGTGGTACACCATTGTGGTGGACCAGCATGAGTTCCCCCTTAGTAAATATACTTTCACCCTGTCAACGTTCTCCCATAGCTTGGTCAAGCTGCAGAAGGCTTCGGAGGCCATGGCTTACTGCCAAGAGTTTGAGGGGGCTTGGAGAAAAAGAACTGCAGGGGGGAATGTAACATGCGCCACGTATTTTACAAACCCCCAATACAGTGTGTCGGTACCCAAGTCAACGCCCCTATCCATCCTTTTGTCAACGGATAACTCTGATACCCACGTACATGTGGACTTGGTATGGGGCCATGGGAAGCGCGTGAGCAGCGTCAAGGTCAAGGAGCTGGTGGCATCTACTGGAGAATATCGCCGTGGAAGCGCTGTGGCGGACATCGCGCATATTGACCCAGGGGTATATACACTCGTATGCTCAACGTTTGACGCGGGGCATGTTGCCAAGTTTGCTCTTCGAGTGTCTTCCATGGTCCCTGTTACACTTGAGCCTATCCCTGCTGAGGCCGCTGGGAGACTACGTGCTCCCTTGAGCCCGTTGACACTTTCGCAGGGGGCCCAAAGGATGCAGGCGCCACTCTCTGTTCAATGGCTGACAAGAGCGAGCGTCATGGTTAGCACGAACTCTCGGTACGCTTCTACACTGCTACTTAGACTGAGCATTGTCATCGGGCGGGGCCAGGATCGGTTTACCGAGGTGGTTTCCGGTGAGGGCGAGTTTCAGGCTGCGGCTGCTGGCCTGCGTACCCCAGAATTCGATATGGAGCCACAAAGGTCCAATTCTGTAGGCATGTGGCTCTTGATCGAGGGTATGGGGATGGGAGACGAAGAACATCTCGTACAGGCTTACATTTTCAGTGACTCGCCTGTACAAGTCGGGCCGTGGGAAACAATGGATGAAATATGGCATTAGAGTAACGGGGCTTCTCGTTTATATTGCTTCTTGCCTCTCCTTGATTGGTGTTGCTGTAAGCTGCCAAACCCTATATGCTGTTCACCAAAGGCTTAGAGTATCCAACAATCCATTTACGCGAATTCGACCATGCACCGTGAAAAAGAAAACGCCTGAACATGAATTTTTTTTGACCGAGGTCCTAACTCCTAAACTCATTCGCTGTTTGAACGCCTTACCTTGTAACCAAATTGAACGAATAAAAGATCCAAGCAAAGATGGAAAGAGCCGCAATGAACATCAATGCATCACACAAATAGAGCGGCCTATCGCTAACGCCCAAAGGAGCCCAAAGGGACATTTTGATTGCGTAATTTTCCCCAGTGATCTATTGCCAACTTATAATGGCATCCCACGTCTTCGTCGCCCTCGGTTGGGGCCATCGGCGCGTTGGGCAAGTACGTTTCTCAACTGTGGATCATCCTTATTTTTGTCACTGTGATGTACACGGACGTGCCTGCAGTGGTGAGGGTTAGAATGTGGAATTCGAGATTTTGATGCAGAGGTCTTGATCTTCAGGATGGGTGACATGGCTGGGGGAGCAAAGCCATCACACGTACCTCTGAAGATTATCCGGCCGTGGATATCTGTGATCACGGTCTGGACAAAAGGGACAGACATATCCGGGGGAGTCGTGAACGAGGCCGTGCCTAATCATTTCGTTCTTACGTTTGAAACCTTTCCCTCCCTCGCTTCGAGGACATCCTTGAACTGGGCAGTAGTGTGGACGGGCCGAAGAATGAACATTGGCGTGGGAATTTAAAAGATATTGCGTTTGAAATGGAGGCGCTTTACAACCAGCGAACGTGCAGACGTAAGTAGATGCCGGGGCAATGGCCGACTCAGCTGGGAGTCCATGATGTGGAATTGATGAGGGCGAGAGAGGGATAGGGATAGAAATAGTGGAGGTTCTTTTTCGGGTTTTAAGTTCCTCGATGGCCTCCTGCTCCGTAAGTTGTTTCGGGAAATGTGTTGTTGCAGTAGGTAAGTATGAACCCGTGATAAGAAGAGCCTGTGGGGATGCTTGGTAACTATCAGGGGGGGAAATTGGAGCCTTGCCGTGGTTACTAGCTAACCGGGGAAACGGATGGGGATGTAGCGATGTCGTATAGCCTGGACTCGAGGCCGATCCGGGACCACTACGCAGCCCTTGGCCGTTTAGCAAAAGGTTCATGTCACCAAATGTCGTTCTGATTGATGGAAGAGTTTGACTGGTAGCATCTGAGGGCCTCGGAGAAATCGGTGGCAACCCGGCGCTGTCAGGAGTCAAGACCGGTGGAGGGGAAAGATTGTCAATCTTGGCATTCTCTTTCCGAAACGCGGAGAAGTCGTTGGCAGCAGAATTGACCGGATCGCTCTCCTTATCGTGGATCGATAGATGAAACGTCGACGTCGATATGTCCTTGGTAAGGGGTGATTCAAGCTTTATCCGGGGTTCTACCACAACACGTTTTAATGCGTTTGCTGCGAGATGCTCGAGGCTTCTGGGGTTTGTGGATGGTTGCTCTTTGGGCTTTGAATGACCGTTAGGTGGGGTCTGTTGTGTTGGCTCTTGTCGATATAAAGGCTCCCTGTCGCATTCACTACTGGCCGAACGTATCGGTGGCAGGGGTGTCACAGCCGCATTCTGGGCAATGGCAGCATTGCGATTGTTGTCCAACTGCTGGATGAGAAAGGCATCTCCGGGGTGTATCTGACCCGTGGACGTGTCATAGAGGCCGTCGTCGTCCGTGACAAAGCAGGGCGGTGGAAAAGAGTTTTGGGGTGGTGGACTCCGTGACAATGATGCTCGCAGTTCTGACTCCTTCATCAGAGGGCTGTTCGGGGGAGATTCGTTTAAAACAGGGTCTTGGGACCAGTTGACGTGCGGTTGGGTAGCCGCCGCCTCCGTCATTATTGTCAGATGACGCCGCAGTCGCTCAAAGTGCCATGGCCCAGATGGGCAGGCTTGGGGATCTCTAAGGAAGCCACGGCGCTCAGGTTGGTCGTGTCCAGGTTCGAGTCGCGACCGCCCCAAAACCAGGCGCCTAAAACGCGAGAAAAGCAAGGAAGAGGGCGAGATGATTCCGAGTACCCTCTTGTAGCTGCTCGAAGGGAATCAGCCGGCCAGAGAGCCGGTGCTCGTCAAATCGGAGAGTCAGTCAGTTTGTTGGGATCAGCACACCGCCCACCCCGCAGGACCCCGCGGGTCCTAGGATTGAGTGAGACTTGAAGCACTCGAAATCGACCCAAGGTCGCACTGCGTTGTTCCGGTTTCGAATCGCGTGGGCGGATGCATTTGGCAAGCAAATGCTATGCCTCCAAAGAAGATGCGCCGCGCCCGCGATTGTTGGTAAGGGATGGAACTAATAAGCGATCCGCGTCCAAAGCTACTCAGTAAGTAGTGGCAGGCTGCATCGCGTAGGGGTCGGTTACGTTTGGGTGCATGACATAGCCTCACTGAGGATGACGCTGTAAGCCGCTGTCGCCGAAAAGGGAAGGGTGGAAATAGAGGGGACTGGGCCGGAGATGGAGGTGGGCAAAAGGCAGGACAGGCCCCGGCGGAGATGGATGCTTGGGCGGCGACGTCGTCCAGAAAGCTCGGAATGGCGCATGCAACTGTGAGCGAGGGCTGTTTGGGAGTGGTTGAGAGGGAGGGAACTTGAGAGTTGCGGGATGCGGGCGGCTAAAACCTTAACGGTAGTACCTCTAGTAGGCAGGCCGCGCTAGTAGTGTTGAGAAGATGGAGAAGGCGTCTTGATAGGTACTTGGAGAGCTACCAGCGCGACGAGTTCCGACCTTGGGCTGACAGGTACCTCGCTAGCTGAGGGGCTGGCAGATCCACTAGATCTCGCAGTGCAATGACGCGCGACGGATAGTAGATAGAGACTTGGTCCCGATGGACGGGGAAGTACAGTGCCAAGTTCCCCCACGGCTGCGCCAGGTACTCTGTACCACCTCTCCACTAGGCGCGCGCTGTGGCCACTGTCAATTGGCCAGCGCCTTCCATTGCTTTTCTGATAGGCAGGTTCCCTCGCTACTCGCACACAATTGAGGCATGCTTGCTTACCTACTTACCTATGGTACTATTACCTGGCCATGCAACGTGAATGGCTGCCCTCCGGACTGTGAAGAGGCCGGTCAATAAGCCCCTTCACACATCTCCTCTATCTGGGTGTGGTATCAGTATGCGGCGGAGGCTACTGGGACTGCCTGTGGCTGTGGATATCCCATTCACAAGCGTGATTTACCTAGCACTGGGGAGCTGGCCGATTGCGGAGAGACCGCCACTTGCTCGCCCAGCCCATAGTGCGGCCAACCCAGGCGACTTGCTCCTTAAAAACTGGATGACAGCCTTTTCTGGCCAACCCTGAGCGAGGCTTCTCAAAGCTGCCTCCTGCATGGCACGTTCACAAGGCAAGGGAAGGCAGAGTAGAGCCGCCAACTGCTGTGGTAGGTCCCCGCTGGGCAGTGCATGTCGCCCTCTGCCGATGGGGCTGCTGCTGCTGCTGCGGGGGTGGCAGTGGCAGTGGAGTGGGACTGACTTGGGCTCAGACCAGCCTTGCTAGTTCAGTGTGGTGGGGTGGCGCACGCACCCTATTGGCAGACCAAGCCAGGTCTCGGTTCCATCTACCATCCATGCCTCGCCCGCCTATTCTTGCTGGTCCTAGAAACAAGCCGGCACATACATGTGCCGAGTTGAAGTTGAGGATTCGTCATTGGACAAAGATAATACCCGGTCAGTACATGTAAAATCCAATCTACTACCTGTAATTCTCTTCTATTTACTAGGAAAGTCGGTGGTATTGAAAAGGGCACACCAAGTCTATTCATTGATCGAGGGTTCTCGCACAATCTCAAAATAGAAAAAGAAAAGAAAAAAATTCGGCATAATAAGAAAGACATTGCATAAAATCAGTCTAAAGAGAATTTTCTTATTTGATAATCATAAAAAAATACCATGGCATCGATCGACATATGCAAGCCGGATGCAGGGTTCCAAGTCATCTGTTTCCACATCACGCACCTGCTACGATGTGGGTTGGGCACCTGAAAGGAGCCCTTACCAATTGTCTGTAGCCAGCTGGCAAGCCCACTGATATATGTCGTTGGATCCCTAAAATGATCGCTTTTGAAAGAGAGCCTAGGTTGGAAACAAAGTCGTTCATGTGTGGAGTGCAAAAGCAAAAGCCAAAACCCTGCCTTGACCATCATGGTCGATATCTCGGTGATTGCAGTCATCTTCCCCAACCCGGTCCTGCCGCTTGCTTCCTACCTTGCGTGGAGCGCTCAACCCAACGCAAAAGACCATACAGGAAGATGATTCGTTCTTTCTCAATAAAGGCTGCCATCTGCGACGGACTGTACTAAAGCTCAGCCCAGTGCTGCCCATCACTGATTTGCACTGCCTATCATGCTCGCTGACTCCCATCGTGCCAATCGGTGCGCGAATAAACTAAATATTGAACCCAAGTAAAGGATGTGTGTGACATAACTGTCCAAGTCTAGGCCAGAGCATCCTGAGTAGTTGCTCATTCTCATGACAAACATAACCCCAATTGAATACTTTCGGGTGAAAACCGTCACCGAAGATACACCCAGAGTTGATGTGAGAGCAGCAATCGTGGTCATCATAGGCTGGGAACCTGCTGAGCCATGTACCAAAATGCTTGTAGTCAAATCTGCAATGGAATCATCTGTTTGCTATCGACAGCCTTGACAGCCGGCTCGAGGAAGCATGAAAGCTGAGGATGAGCCTTGGGACTCTAAGGCAAGAAAGGAATCTTGGCACCACGAGGCCACTTATGGCAGGGGAGCGGTAATGTGGTTGGCGTAATAATATTAGGGCCAACATTGAGAACAGCTTCTCACATCATTGGGCCATTCGATATCATCAGAGGTATTGATGTACATATCGGAGATGATGCTAGTTTCTTGCAAACAGTTGGCTAACAGCGAAACAAATTCTTTGGACTGACGTCAAGGATTATGGGCAATTTCGAGTTGCAGAATTGGGTTGCTACACCGATTAGTATCGGGAAAATCGGAAAGACTTTGGGACTTCATATAAGTCGGAGCCCCAAAAGTCGTGTGCTTTTCGGAGTCGCCCACTTTGCTCGAGAAGAAACAGGATCTTGTAGGGTGCCTAAAGGCATTGTCGAGAAGAGAATGCCATGAACAGGCTAACCCACAACTTCAGTTTCATGTAGGATAAAATCATACCACTTTCCCATACCCGTCGATGCTACGCCCTCTTTGATGAGAGAGGTCTAGAAGGGTTATTTTGCCATGCTACCGAGTCGAGGAGTCTGAAGTTGGTCCAAGGTTCCCAGAATGAGATTCCAAGTAGCAGCTTGGGAGGGCTGGCTGGGACCTGATGCATTAATTCTGACGGGGCTTTACCAATCCTTCATGTAGTAGGTAATATACTACAGTTGAGTCATTCTGCACCGTCCCTAGTACGATGCGTTTCGCTCGTTCGCCACCGTGCTCCACTGAGTCGAAAACGCTGGCAATTCGGGAGAGAGTCCACTTCTCTGCTGGATGAACAGCTAAAACCCATTCGAATTCTGGCTCCTGGTGCAGGCGGACTCCAGTAGAATGCTCGTGATCTAAGACCGCGATTTGATCGTCTGGGTGAATGTATAGGCGCCGTGGAGGGAGACCCTTGATCAAAGGGCGCTGTCCAGCCCCGTGATGAGTCTCGACGGAGGTCCAGTCATGTTGATCCTCGAGATTTTGCACCACTGTTTGAGTGATGTGAGAGACTGGATCTTCTTCCAACAGTTGAGCCATTTTAGATCCCCTTGTAGTTGATGAAATTGGCAGAATGGTTGCTCTGTGTAATTCTGTTCAAGCTGTGGCTGTCTGCGACGTTGTTGATTTTTTTGCACCCTGAAGGGGCATGCACCGGTTTCACTGCCAGCTAAGTTACAAGGTAGGTACTGTTGCCCGACCCGACAGTGCAAAGCCAAGCACTAGCCGCGTGTTAGGAGTGTGGCTGGGGCTTAGTACGTACAGGGCACTGACTCTTGCCTGCGTGCCTCGCCATATGGGCCTCGCGTTAATACGAGCAAGTGTATTTCTCAGTTGGCATTGCTCAAAGATTACCCGAGGCCTCGGGAAACCCCTTCACTTCTCAGGAAGGCTTCGCAAAAACCCGAATACCTCCAACTTAGCGTGTTATTTTAGGTTCCTGGAGCCGGTTATCAGCATTCCATCCAACTAGGGTTGGTACGGTAGTGACCTACCAACTAACTGACAGCGGACTTTACGGAGCCTCAATCAATTGCCGTCAAGTCTTCCTTAAAAAGCTTTGCTTCTACCAAGGTCACTTCAATCAACTTCGACCTGTGGTTTGTCTGATCCCCCTAACGCTCTTTACCCCAACATTCTGTTCCTCATGAGCTGGTAGCGACCGAAATAAGAAGCCATGATCCCCACAGAAGCTGATGCAGTCAGCCATGCCGCCCCTAGGTCATCGGCTGCACCAAACACCGACACGCCTGGCATCCCGGTGACGCCAAAGAATCGATCGTCGACGATTTCATCCGTGAGTGGCAGCCTTAGGCGCGTCTCTTTGGGTTTCCAAGGGTCAAATCTGCCAGATGGATTCTCAGCGGCTACTGGAGGCATCGCATCAACAGTCTTCTCGCGCCAAGTCAAGCAAGCCCCTAACACCACTGGCGCCGCGCGAGTCGAGCGCATACCTTTGACCGAAGTCGATTCAACCCCAAATCAGAAGAGTTCTGGAGAGCCCTCGACAAGAGGGAAATCACCTGTAGAACCCCCCGAGGCGGCATCGTTCCCGAATGGCTACCACTTTCCTCCGAAACATACCTTCGCCCAGTCGACCCGAGATGGTGCGCTTGCCTTCTGGAAATACTTTATAACACCAGTCGGGTTTGTCGTTAC